TAATCAACCCATTCAGAGACGTTATTACGCACCCCTGGAGCAGGTGGAACTTGAACCCAGACCTCCCAGTCCAAGGGTAAGGACACTACCACTGTGCCACCAGTGGGCACTTCTGACATTTTCGGAGAAGAACATTGGTGAAAAAGCTGCAGATAGATCTAGGATGCTGCCATTAGGAAATCCTTATTAATGCCCTGAAGCTGTGTTGATTGGCCTGAACCATCATTATTACTTTTCGTTTGATTTGTTCAGACACTGGAGATTTTTCTCCTGATCCTCATTTACTTCAGTTTCACTCATTACTGCACTTGACTGAAGCCTGCTTTGATGACTATCAGTCCTGCAATACCTCAAGAGTATGTTAACACCAAGGCTGTAACGGAGTTTGAACTTTGGTGTTTCAGGCTAAACCCAAACTGGGAATCACCTGATTAAGTAATAGATGAATAACCCAATAATGCTGTTAATTATGGATACCTTTTTTATTTACTTGTGGGGCATGGTGTTGTTGGTTGGATCGGCATTTATTTGGCACATTTCTGAAATGCGTCTTGTAGACAGTGTACACTGCTGTTACTGAGCATTGGCGGCAGAGTGACTGAATGGTACCACATCCACAAACAATCAAGTGGCTGCTTTTTCCAGGATGGTATCAAGCTTCTTGTGTGTTGTTGGAGCTGCACCCATCCAGGTAAGTGGGGAGTATTTCTGACTCCTGATTTGTGCTTTGTAGATTATGGTCAGACTTTAGGGAATCAGGAAGTGTATGCATGTGAATGAAAGACTGGTTAAACCTCCTCCGCCAGCCCTGTTGAAATTGCAGAGTGGAGCAGAAATTAGGTGTGTTCTTCTCAAGATACCTAACTGGTGACCATGTGATTACCATCAAGAAATAGGCCTTTAAAATGAATATAAACAATTACTGCTTCTACTTCACAGTCTATCAGTTGGTGTTAACATGAATAAAACAGCTGAGCAGTCCCTCATTCCCAATGTTATTCCATTCAACTCTTCTGGAGTTACTTTGAATCACAATCCATAATTCAGTTTTTCAAATGCTAAGCTTACCATGGAGGCGACAAATGCACTTGTTCAATTAATATTAATATTAATAAGATTAAGCTCCAATCTTGAGTTAGCCTTTAATTCCAGATTCAGTTCAAATCAAAGTATTTAAACCTGATCATGATGGGAAAAATGGCCACAGAATCCTGATCTCCAGCTGTGACATTCACAGAGAAACTTGCTTATCTCACGATGGTTGCTGATGTGTCGAGATGAGGTCAATTACAGGGAATCAGTTTCATTTCTGTTTAGGTAGCCTAAAAAGTTTATCTCTTTCAGAGATGATGGTGGTTTGTAGTGCTAGAGATTACAGAGATCGGGAAGGATGAGGTCATGAAGGTATTTAAAAACAACTATGTTAATTTGACAATGAATGGGATTCAGTACAAATTAGCATAGAATCAGCAGAGTTTTAGATGAACTCACATTTATGGAGGATGGAAGCAGGTTATGAGTATATTGGGATTGTTAAGTCTGCAGGTAAACATTTGTTGAAAGTGTACTTGTGGATATCAGGTGAGCACAGAATTAACTTTGTCCTCCACAATCTCTCCCTCACTCACTATTGAGGAATTCATCATGTCAGCTATGGCTCCGTGGTTTAGACTGTCTCCTCTGAATCAGGAGGTTGTGGAGTCAAGTCCAATTCAGGATTTTGAGCACAAAAATAAAGGCTGACACTCCAGTGCAATTATAGAGTGCTGTGATGTTGGAAGAGCTGACCTTCAAGTTAATGTTATACTAATGTGAATGTAAATGATCCCATCTCAAAGTAGAGCTGGGGAGTTATCCCTGGTGTCCTGACCAATATTTATCCCTCAGTGAACAACATTGAAACAAATCTGGTAATTGTCACATTGCGGTTTGTGGAACTTGGTTTGTGCAAATTGACTGCCACATTTTCTATGTTTCAACAGACTTCAACTGTCCTCAAACATACTGCAGATGCTTTGGGATGTCCTTTGGTCATGCACAGTGCTGTATAAGTGCAAGTCTTCCCCCAACACGTCACTGCTTTCAAAAAAAGAGTCAAAAGGAAAGCAGCAAATCGTATCACAGCATCTTCTAGCATTCAATGTTACATTGTGGCAATAGCTCAACCTTAAAACTTTGGAAAGCATCAAATGAGAAGAGCTGTTTTGATCCATTTTTCACTACTCAATGTAGGGGGCGTCCTTCTCATTTTGTCTTTTATGAAGCTTGTTGATTTTGTATTCTGTGTGCTTCTGCTTCTTTTTTTGGTGCTAAAGCGTTATCCCCCTCTCTCTTAGCTCTTCCTTTTCTCCAGTGTAAGCAATTTTAGTTCTGAGATTGCCACCACATAGCCTAAAGCCTTCAAATAGCTTTAGTAGCTCCATTACTTAATTAAAATTCAAATTGGCCAGATTATGTTAAATGCATGCTTCAGGTATATGATCACAGCTAGATACTTCTTTTTCCTTTAACCTCAGTGCTCTCAAAATAAGATAGCTCATTGCCTGTATGCACTTTCTGTCTCGTGTTTCTATTAGAGAGTTTCCCAAACTGAGAGTTGGGTCACCAGCCAAAAATTTGGGGTCACAGGCTCCACTGCAAAAATGGCTGCTGTGGGGGTCTGATTAAGTGCGAAAAGCTGCAAGATCCTTTTAAATAGTGGGCATGGCCTAAATGTCTGATCTTATAACCCTAATCTTGTCCTTTGAAAGAAATCCTAGCAAGTCAGTACGTGTATTTTAGTGAAAAGTCCTGTGGATTAAACTGCTTTTTTCCCCTGACATTCTCACAGGTCTCACTCTACCCCCCCACCCCCAACCTCACCACTCTCTCAAAGGATCTACAACCCCACTGTACTCTCTCGCTTTCCCTCTCCCTTGCCCTCCCTCTCCTTCTCCCTCCCTCTGTCTCGCTGTCTCACACATGTATCCACATAGACGCATACACACATGCGTATGTACTATACACACACATCCACACATACACTTATGCGTGCGTGCACACACACATGATTACAATGAGGAAACATTTGGGAAGCACTTGCAGAAATATACAATGTTGTGTTATTATCTCATTATCAGTTCACTGTAAAGAGTCATGCTTATAATATTATAGAATGTGACCTGAGGGTGTTAAGATCTCATACTCCATCTTAATTAGGAGCACTTGAAGCATGACATGCTACAGGAAGTACACTACTCTCTACAACTTAAAAGCATGATGTATTTGAGAGATGCAATGATTGTATGTAATAGATAGCTACAATAAAAATCTATCAGATTTGTCAATTCTATGATATCCACACCCAGTTTATTATGTTGCAAGTGCAATAAGCATTGCCACATAAGGTAAAATACTAAGAAAAATGCAAAATTACATCATGGTGGTAGTGGTTTTGCCATCTGTAAAAAAAACTCCAACATCTTGGTGGTAGATATTTTAAAAAATAATTGAAGAGCAATTAGACAACCATTTTGGACAGCAAAAAAGTTCAGACAAATGGCACTATCCATTGCTGTGAGTACTGGATATTGATTTTGAGACCTAACGCAACAGGCAGTTAAGCTTAAGCACATCAGGCATCTGGTTCATTTGGTTTACATTTCTTTGAATGTTTTCAGCTAAATTTATACTCCTTAACTAGCTATATGGTAATTTGGTACCTTCAGCAAATTTGTAACATTATATAATATGTATTGAACACCAAAGTAAGGATGTTATGCTACAGTTGTACAGGGCATCATGAGACCTCATCTTGAATACTGTACGTGGTTTTGATATTCTTATTAAAGGAAGAATGTAAATGTATTGGAGGTGGTTCAGAGGAAGGTTACCAGATTGATACCTGAAATAAACAGGTTATTTTATGAGATTAAGTTGAACAGATTGGGCTTGTTTCTGCTGGAGTTTAGAAGAATGAGGGGTGACTTAATTGAAGTGTAGACGATCCTGAACAGTCTTGACTAGTTGGACATGGAAATAATGGTTCTTCTTGTTGATTAGTCCAAAACTAGGGGCACTGTTCTGAAATTAGGGGTTGCATTTTTCAGTACAAAGATGAGAAGAAATATTTTCTCAGAGTCAAGTGATTTTGGAACTCTTTGCCTCAGAAGTCAGTTGGTGGCGGAATTATCGAATACTTCTAAAACAGAAGTAGATAGATTCTCATTAGACAAAGGGAATCAAGGATTATCAGGGGTATATGGGAATGAGGAACTTGAAACTCAAACAGATCAAAAGTATGATCTCATTGCATGGTGGAGTAGCCTTGAGGGCTGCGTGGCCTAATTCTGCTCTTATTTGGTTTGTTCATGTGTATGTTCCTATTCTTCTTGTATTGTTAAAAGACAGTGAGTGGGAGACTCAAAACAGAGTCCTGCAAGGGCCAGAAGTGACTTGCCCCAATGAGACTTTTTAGATTTATTATCCTTTCTCTTGCTAAGCCAATTTTCAATCTAATCATATAATATCTGTTAACTTCACTAGCATTAGAAAGCACTAAAAGGTTCAGATAGAACTTGCTTAAGTTGGTTCCTAAATCTGTTTATACTGTTTGCCTCAATAATTTTTCATTGTAAGTAGTTTGAGAATGATACTACAAGCACTTCCAACGAATTGTTGAAAACGTGAGACCAACTAATAAAAAGGAACGGGGTAACTCATTCAGTTCAAGCCTGTTGTCCATTCATTTAGATCATGGCTGATTTTTATTTCCATGCAATGGAAAAGGAGAAATTAATTATATGTCAGGGGTAAGATTCTGAATGAGTTAACTTGCCATTTGCTAATGGTAGATGACACTTCAAAATGCGAGACAGATCATGCCTCTGTGGAAGTGAAAATTATAATGCATATTTGTCTGTACTTACAGGAAAATTTCTTCACAAAGGAAGCAAAGGCAATTGGTGTTCATAGGGATTATTTAGGAAATTTCTTCTAATTTTCACCACTTACATAAACAGGGCAACCCAAATCAAAACCTACTCGTGGGACAATGCACAAGTCATCCTTGTTGGAAATAAGTGTGATATGGAGGACGAGCGTGTAATTCCTGTTGAGAAAGGAAAACACCTGGCTGATCAGCTAGGTAGGTGCTTGCTATTTTCCCTTTTAGTAACGTTATCCTTTGATAATGTTGATGTTTCTGATTCATGTTTTAAAAATCTTACAGTGTGTATTCAAATAAAAATGTGTTTTGGGAGGGCATTGTAAGAAGATTGTCAGCATTTATTAATGTTTTATTTTAGAAAATATTTGTTATATATAAATAAAATATTAAATTCAGCTGAGGAAGAACTGGATGATGCAGTTGGTTAGTTTATTAGAACTGAGGGCATTGTTGTTAAGTTTGCAGATGGCACAAAGATAGATGGAGGGACAGAGTGTTGAGGAAGCAGGGAAGCTGCAGAAGATCTTGGACAGCCTCGAAGAGCGGGTTAAGAAATGGCAGACTGTTTTCTAAATGGTTCTGCACATTAACCTTACAGCCCTAGTTCAGAATTTGCTTAGGCTCCTTATTGCTTCAGATTTCTGAAGTCTTTCCCCATTTAGAAAATAGTTTACACCTCTATTCTTTCGACCAAAATGCATAATCTCACCCTTTCCCACATTGTATTCCATCTGCCACTTCTTTGCCCACTGCCATGAAAATTAAACTCACCTATACAGATTGAGCAGACTCCACCTAATGGCAGAGATTGATTAATGCAGGTAGCATCCAAAGTCGTGCACCCATCTGCACCAACCAATGTCTGCCACTAGATGAATCCCAGGACTTCAGTTTGAATTCAGAACTGGAGACAGAAAAAGGGAGCAGCTGAACAACCCAGCTCTTAAGATAACACCAGAGGGCAGGAGGGAAGGTCAGGGTCGGGCTGTGAGATAAGGCTAGGGAACATATCAAGAGGCAAAGTCAAAGGAAAGTAAGGGATGGGGACAGTGGCAGGAGACAGTGATAGCAGTTGGAGAAAAGGAACTGACGGCACTTTCAGAAGTGTTGTGGAATAGGTCGTTTATGCAGGCAAGACGCAGAAATGGACATCTGTGGCAAATGACGTGAAAATGAAACTGGCAATGTGGTTGTGTTGTGTATCCACAATGTCAGGTGAGTTAAGTGGGGATTTACAGTTGTAATCAGTTTTCAAAGAGTTAGCACCACTATATTGAATTCTATAAAGTGATCCTGAACTGTTTAAAAAAAATTAAAAATTAGACCTTTCAAAAAATTCATTCAGGGAGTCCCAGAATCTCTAGAGAGTCACAAAATAGTTTTTTTCTCTCTCACTAGCAGAGTAGCTCAGTCTTTCGTTTTCTTAGTTAATATCAAGATTTGATTCAGCAATTATAATATAAATATTTCACTAAATGGTTTCACTCTAGAAAATGCAAGAAGGAAAGTCCACGCAATGTCAATGATTTTCATAAGAAAACAAATCTACAGAATCCAAAGTCATTGCATTGTGTCTAGCTTTGCCTACAGGGTTGTTTCTTGAGTACTTTGAGGGTTGAATCAGAACTTTTATTGCTATCTTTGTCAACTTTGTTTAAAGTGCCGATTTCCACTTTAGACACAGAAGACAGAGACTAAAAGAGGCGAGGTTGAAGGTTCTGGTAGTAAGTCTCCAAAGATATTTCCCCATATCTAGGCACTCATATGCTGATGTCAATAGGCCAAGAAGGCTATATTTAAGCATCTCCACAGAACACAATGCGGGAGAAGTGGAACAAGCCAGCAGCCATTTGCAAGATCACAACTGTCTCCCCCAAAATTTCAACAAACATTAAAGAACAAAGGATGAAGGTCAAAAAGAATTGCTTCAAACTGCCTCTCTTCCTTTTTGTAAGACTCCTGTCAAAAACTTTCATAAGGCATTTTGCCTATTACTCTCCAAAGTCCTAAAAGTTAAAAGCATGTGTAGAAATTAACCCAGAAATTTATGTAATTGAATTTAGTGAGGAAAAGTGAGATATGTACTCCTAATAAAAATTATCATTTGCCATTGTACATATATATTTATCATACAAATATACAAGCTATGGAACTGAAACTGTCCATGTAGAGATATGTCAATGTTTTGGACCAAGAGTTAGCATCATTTATAGATTTGTTGGTCGTGCTTCTCTGTCAAATAAATATTTATTGCCTTCCTGTACCTGGTCTTTTCAGTGAGGACTTAAATGTCCCACATAGATTTTATTATAAAGCCATCAGACTTGTTCTTTAATAAGTCCATCACCAAATGGAATGAATAGGTCACAATAAAAAGGTGTCTTAGCCTTGGTATATGCCTGTTTGTGTAGTAGGAGACAACAAAAAGTATTGTTGGTGCAATGAGTTGCAAAGAAACAAGCTATCCTCCTAAATCTTTCTTCACATCCATATCATGTTATTCTTATGGTTAATAATAGGCAGATCCGAAAGACCATCTGTTCATTAATTCTGCTTTCAGTCATCTGCTAGCCTAGCGGTGGAAAATGTAATTAAAAAGTTGTTACAATCCCTGTAGAGACTGATAACCTTTAAAAAGATGATTTCCCAGCAGCTGATGATAAGAACTGTAGGACAAGATTCATATTTTATGGCTTTTGCCACAACTGGAAATCTAAAATCAACATACATCAAACATTGCTTAACAGGTTCTGAGTTTTGAGGGTCACTCAACCCAAAACGTTAACTCTGACTTCTCTCCACAAATGCTGCCAGACCTGCTGAGGTTTTCCAGCAATTTTTGTTTTTATTACTTAACAGGAAACTGATACATTAAATTTAAGGAAATGTTCTTCACATTAAATAACTAATGCAACCAAAATATGTCTTACAAAACCCCTTTAGTGAAGTACCATGCTTTTAAAAGATATGTAGCAATTCAGGAATTGTCCCACAGTCACTATAAGCACCACATCTGTTCAAAATGTCCAATATCCTTCAACAATGATTGCAATTCCTGTGCAATTTTTCTGGATCCAATTATCATCAGCAAGGCACACCTCGGTGAATTTCTGTTCCCTAAATCTGCCGGATTCTCATCTGCTCTGTTCCCTTTCACATGAACAGAATCAAACTTTGTTTTAACAGTGTTCCACTTGGTCAGTAACACAAAATAGTGCACCTGATGGGTGGCAGTGAAGTGTGCTGCTTTCTTTGGATTGTCTGGAGAGTTACTGGAGCAACACTCATCCAGGCAAGTGGGGAATATTCCATAAAATCTTTGTGTCTTCTTGATGGTTCATGAGCTTTGGGAAGACACTCAGGAGGTGAGCTACTCACCACAGAATTTCTAGCCCTGCCCTACTGTTGGAATCACAATATTTACATAGCTAACAAAAAACAGAAATTTCTGGAGAAACTCAGCAGGTCTGGTAGCATCTGTGGGAAGAAAGCAGAGTGAACTTTTCGAATCTGGTGACTCTTCTTCAGAGTAAGGGTCTGAAGAAGGGTCACTGAATCTGAACCATTAACTCTGCTTTCTCTTTGCAGATGCTGCCAGACCTGCTGAGTTTCTCCAGCAATTTCGGTTTTAGTTTCAGATTTCCAGCATCCACAGGTTTTGTTTATAATGTCAGTTAAAACTCACTGTAAAATAAACCCAGTGTACCTTTTTGGAGGTCTGTGTGAAATCTGAAAGCTAGCCTAATATTTACACTGGTTACATTATAATCTGTCAATTTATTCTGGAATAAAACTTTCATCATGGATGATGCAGTTCAGGTTGACTGCTACCTGCATTGGTCAACTTCTGCCACTAGGTGGGGCCTGCTTGACCTAACAGTATATATGACTGTATGTATGAGTTTAATTTTTAAGATATATATTGCACTTCTTTTATATTTAATAATGTATTTTATTTTGCAAGTTATTCAATCTCTGAAGGTTCAGTGCTGTATATATGGTACAGTCTTTCACCATGTAAATTGTTTTTGTCAGTGAGATATGTCCAGTTCTGGCTTCAACATAGGTTTTCATAGGAATCAATTATTCACTTAAAGTTACTTAAAGTTGCAGTTTTCAACCACAACTTTAAGTAAGGATTCCCTGTACCAACATTAGGCAGGAGTCATGTTGCATGTTGAAATAGGTGATCAATTGAAGTGACTGTTGTGGTGTAGTGGCAGTGTTCCTATCTCTGAGCCAGGAGGCCTGGGTTCAAAATCCACCTGTTCCACATGAGTGTCATAACAGAATCTGAACAGGTTGTTTAGGAAGCATCTAAAATCTAACTCTGCAGGGGAAAAATTCAGATGTTTTCAAATGCAACAATTCTTCCAAGTTGTAAACTGTGAGGAAGACAATGTAGAACACCAAAAGGGCATCAGCAAGTTGGTGGAGTGTGCAGATAGGTGGAAGAGGAGTTTCAATGCACAGAGAAGTGTGATGTGATGCATTATGGTAGGAAGAACATTGAAAGATTAATGTAAATTAGGAGGTACAATTCTAAAGTGAGCACAGGAGCAGGTGGACCTGGGTGTATATGTGCACAGAAAATTGGAAGCAGCAGAACAGGTAGACAGCAATAAGTAAAGCATACAGTATAACTGGCTTTATTAATAGGGGCACAGAGTACAAGGGTAAGACACTTGATAGGCCTCATCTGGAATATTATGTAATGTTCTGTGGGCCACAATATAGGGAAGATGTGAAGGCATTGGAAAGAGTGCAAAAGTAGTTTCCAAGAATGGTTCCAGGGATGAGAAACTTCAGTTATGAAGATGGATTGAAGAAGTTGGGATGGTTCTTCTTGGAGGGTGGTAGTTTGAGAGAAAATCTAACAGCAGTTTTCAAAATCCTGAGCAGCTGATAGAGTAGATAGGGACAAATTGTTCCTGTTCATAAAGGATCAAGACCAAGAGGGCATGGATTTAAAGTGATCTGCGAAAGAAGTGAGGAAGAGATTAATTAGGTATTCCTATTTGCATATGGAATGCTCTGCGTGGAGGTGTGGTGGAGGCAGGTTCAATTGAGGCATTCAAGAGGCCATTGGATGATTATTTAGTAAAGTATAATGTGTAAGGGTATGGGGAAGAAGCAGGAAATTGGCACTAAGTAATGCTAGTCATTCAATGAGATATTACAGTCATGATGAGCTGAAT